GCTAGGACCATACCAGTCATGAAGTTGAATGATGAAAGAAAATTCAAAACTAGCCTTTGGACAAGCATAAGTGTGTCAGTTTATTAACAAAAAAATAGTGAATTTTACGTATTCGGTGATATGAAAACAGTTTCTTATCGGATTCTTATAATTTTTAATTTCAAAACATAGGTGTGTCAGCTTCTTAAAACAATTATTGTTGTTATACTCTCTCTTTCTTATTACTATGAAGTAGGTGTCCTGCTTCTTTTGTATTTGTACAGATTTTTAGTATTTACTATTTACAAAACCAATAATATAACAAAGAAGCATAAGTGTAATTTTTTTTTTTTATGTATTGACGTTTACTTTGTTGGGCATATTTGTTGGGTTGAGAAGGCTTCAAATGAGTGGGAAGCCCTAATGCAATCAAATGGGAAGTATGTCAAGATAAGCACCACGAAACCACAATGTAGCCTTTTGTATGACACATTATTAAATTGGCTCAGACAACTTCAAAGGAAAAAGGTTATAGCTTTTGACATTTGCCGTCTAAATGGAAGAACCAAGAAACAAGGACATGAAAGACAGAAATGGTGGTTTTTAATGCTCCATTGTTGTCTTCTTAGTTCTCTGGTTTTCTTTTTCTTTTCTTTTTTAATTTTGTAGAGGCGAGACGAGGCGAGGCGAGGTGAACATAACCACTCTCTTGCTACTTGCTAGTTACACGTTTCATTGTTGTGCAATTCTATAACTACATAGGAGGAATTGCATGCGAACCGGAAAGAGAAATACAGATATATACCATCAAGGAGAACGACCGGTTGCTTCTTTCCTAGACCAATCTTTTTTCTCTTTTGATACTCAGACTTCCTCTTTGATATTCTCTCTTCAGTCAGCCCTGGAGACAGGGACTCGCAGTAAAAGATACAAAAACAAAAAAAAAACACACCCACAAAAGGTGGTGTAGGGTTTCCTTCCGCTAAATTCTCGCCCAAAGAGAGGGATAGGGTTTTCCTTCAATTACAACGGAAAAAGGCTTCCACTCATCAAGTTCACCTTTGGGGGGCCTTTCACATGACCCATTTTTATAATATTATCATTCATTCTTTTGGCCCATTTTGATAATCTGATTTATTTATTCTTTTGATATTTATATGTAAATTATTCACAGACAAAATTTATTTAGTTCGATAATTTTAATCATATTTAATTACTTATTGTTTTTTTTTTCTCTAAATAAATGATGAAAATACATAGGTATAATCACCAAATATATCTGATTTTTTTTAATTAATAGTCATACAAGAAATTGGAAGTTGAATGATTCATATCATTGAAATAGACCCCAATGACTTGACTAGATAGTCCAAATCGTTTATGAGAATTGGATACAAATCCTTCCCATCATAACCGGCCTTTTTGGTTGTTAATCTATTCTATTATATAAAACCTACAAATAAATTAGTGTAAATTGCCAAAAAAAAAAAAAAAAATTCCCAAAGTAATTCTAAACTTGATAGTTGTTCCTCTCATATTTAACTGCTTCAAATATAAGTGTCATAATTATGAAATCTAAGTACTTTAAACAATTGTCATGATACACACGTTATGTGTGTACCCTTAACATTATAATATATAACATAAAGCTTACAATTAAATTAGTGCAGACATGTCATATATATTAAAAATGCCCACAAGAGTCAGCTATGCTATTATTCAAATTCTTTTAAATATTTAACGCATGTGATTTTTTTCAACCACAAATTATGTGCTCTCAGCCTTCTAGTTATGTATAAAATACTATAGCTTGGAAATTATTTAGCAAACTCACAACCATTTTTGAAATTGCAAGTTAGATCCTCAATGGCTCAAGTTAAAATAGCTTTGTCAAAATTATTTTTTGGCTTACTACAATGCACAAAACTTATTTTTTTGGTTATACCATTCTAATAGGGACTTGCCATTTTGGCACAACCAAATGCCAAATTCAAATTTTGGTTGTAAATTGTTCTAAAATTGTGTTCAAATTTGGGTTCTAAATTGTTCGAAAATTTTGTACAATCTATAACAATTTAAATTTGGAAATTAAATTTGGAAAGCTGAGAAGGATCTTTATTGAGTTTTTGTAATTTTATAAATTTTACTGTGGTTTGAAAATTTATGGTAGAGTTTTGATTTGTAGAAGTTGTGAAACTAACAGTTGAAGGTTCAAAAAAACAGCTAATTTTGGTTACAAAACTGATTTGACTTTGCCATTTTTTGGCATCGCAAATGACACACCATTAGAGTCGTGCATTTGTGAAGCCACGTTATTTTTTGGCTTTGGCAAGGCAAATAGAAAAACCATTGGAGTTGCTCTTAGAATCCAAGTTTATTCTCAGCTGTGCTAGAAGTGAGGAAAAAAATCCGTGGACTTGTAAAATTATTCTATACACTTTCTAATTTATTTTTATTTTTTTGAAACTGATATTTCAAATTGTTTTTTTAGATTAAGGTGAAACGATTTAGATGTGGTTTGGTAACTTTTACATTTTATTATTTTTATTTTACAAAAAATATTAAGTATGTTTATGTTTATTTTAGGTAAAAATGAAAACAAAAAACAAATTTGACGTAAATGTTTTAAAAAACTTATTTTGGAAAAAAGTGAAAGAATTGGTCTGTTTAGACGGTTGAAGATGATGGCCAGATGTGGTTGTTTGCCTTCGAAGGTGGCGGCCGAAAGTAAGTGCCACTGGTGGGATGTGGTTAGTGGTGGCCAAAAGTGATTGCCAATAATGAGAGGTCATGGTCGTAAGTGGTTGACGATCGGAACTAATGGCCGCTCAGTCATCTAAAGTGCTAGTTAAAGCTTGTTTCTAAAAAAAGTGGTGACCGAAGGTGGTTATCACAAGTGGGAGGTGATTGGTGACCAAGCGAAGTGGTGGCCGAAAGTGGTTGGCGGAAGTGGTGGAAATAATTAGTGGGTGATGATTGAAAAGGGTGGAAGAAAGAGGAAGAAATGGGGGGCAAAAATTAAATTGTGAAACCAGTTTTTTTGTGTTTAGAAAATTTTTGTAAACAAAAACATAAACCAAACAAAATTTTATTTACAATTTCAAAAATTCTGAACGGAAGAAAGAAAGAAAATCTAAATGGCGTTGGATCACAACTGTGTTTGTTGGCAAGAGCATTTGCACTGAAAACATATTGACATGCATCCCTATCTAACTTGGATAAGATTTTTTGAACACGTGATGTTATTTATCGTTAAATTTATTTGATCATTTCATCATAATTGTCATGTATGATTGAAATATTTTAGAGCAAATTACACTGTTAGTTCTTGAATTTTGTCCATCATGTCATTTTAGTCCCTACACTTTCAATTGGCTTGATTTTAACCCTTGATTTTTTATTTTGTGTCAATCTAGTTCAATTGATAATATTGATTGTGATTTTTGTCAAAAAATGATTACTAAGTTAGTTGAGCTTAATTTACTGAGTTAGATAAATTTAAAATTTTACTCTTAAAAGCATGACACATATTCTTATGTGCACATTTTTCATAAAAAAACCAATAACAATTATAATCAATTGGAACAAATTGAGACAATATCATAAATTCAGAGCCAAAATCGAGCCAATTGAAATTATAAGGATCAAAATAACATGAGTGTCAAAGACTACCGGTGTAATTTGTCCAATATTTTATCTCAAGTCTTCATCTTCTATAGGGGTGTAAGTGGTTTGGTTTGGTCTGGTCAGAATTATGAAAAAATTTAGCACCAAACTGAATCTTTCAGTTTTGGTGGTTGAAGAATCGAAATAAACCACATATTACAATTCAATTTTGTTGGTTTTGTCAATTTGGTGTAGAAGAAGGATTCACATGAAATTTTAAAATATTTCATAAAAACTTGTAAAATTCCACATTGGGAATAAATGAAGAAAAATAGTGAAAATGTCTCCCTCCTTAATTTTTACTACAAAAACTGAATTATTAATCACTTAAAATATAAAAGTTTTTAAATATAATATTTCAATTGATTCTGTTTATATTAGTGTAAAAAATTTCAAAATCAAAACAGGCCACACAATATGAAAAATAGACATAAAACTAAAATTTTGATCAATTTTGAGCGATCGTTTCGGTTTCATTGATTTTTCTGACACCCCTAATCTTTCAGTTTATATTAATGTAAAAATTTTCAAAATCGAAATAGAATACCAGTATAAAAAAAATGCATCGAAAACTTAAATTTCGGTTGATCTTGAGTGGTCAGTTCGGTTTCATCGATTTTTTTTACACCCCTAATCTTTCATGTGACATGGTAAGTTCTACTATTTTTTTAATATGATTTTTTTTACACATGTACGTGACTTTTATAGTATAAACACAAGAGGTCAAATGAAGCCGTTGATAAATAATAGCTCTCTCATTTTATTTCACCTTTTTATATATACTTATGCAATAACAATAGTGTGCATGTAGAAACAGTAAAATAATAAAACATACCATACCATATGAGAAAGCAAATTATTATTCATACAAAATTTATCACTAAAATGACGTGGCAATGACATTTTTGCAATAAAACGTCATTTAAATGGGGGATTTATTTTAAAATATAAGTCCCAATATAGAAACAGTAAGGTCCCAATTTATTTAAATGAAGAAACAGATTTGAAACAGTAGAAAATCCAACAAATTCAGAATCAAACCCACATATCAGAATCAAACCCAATTTATACAATTTTTTTTGCCAAGTTCACAAATTTCAGAATAAATTTGACAAACCCAAATTCGGTTTCTCTTTTTTTTTTTTAATCATTTATCACCAAATCAGTTGATCCAAATGGAGTGAAAAAATCAGATGGATATTATCACAATAAACCAAACCAAAATCAGATGGATGTTCTTTGAAGATCAAAATAAATATCAAAATAAAATAAATGGATGAACAAAAATAGTTGGATGAACAAAAATTAAACCAAAAATCAAAATAAATAATTACGAAAAATCGGAGAGCACAGACCTGAGTTGTTTGAAGATCTGGAGATGCTTGAGTTCTTTGAAGATCCGGTTTGAAGCCATCGCGAGACCTGAGTTTGAAAAATCGCGATCACCTCCACATCAACAACCAGAAAAATAAACAAAAAATCAAAGCATATATATATATATATACATGATGTGTATATAGACGGAGAGCGAGAGAGAGAGACAGATCGGAGAGTAAAGAGATCGAAGAGTATAGAGATCGGTGAAGAGAGGGAAGACAGTGCGAGAGTGAGAGCGAGAGTGAGAGAGAGAGAGATCAGTTTGAGGAGAGGGAAGATAGTGCGAGAGAGAGAGAGATCGGTTTGAGATCGGTTTGAGGAGAGTGAGAGGGAAGACAGAGTGACTGGGAGAGGGAAGACGGTGTGATGAGAGTGAGAGGAGAGGGTTGGATGATTCTCAACCATTGAACATTTTAGACGTGGACGGTTGTGATCTACCACTCTGCCCTTAAAATAGCCGTTGTGTTCTGTTTGGTTTTAAAAAAAAAAAAAATTAATAACAACAGTTATCTTTAAACGGCTATTTTTTTCAAACAGTACTATTTCAAATTTCTATAGCTAATTAGTAATTGTTTATTTTTTATATATAGTTAAAAATTTTTATTAAATATGTAATGATATATTTTTTGGTGGGGTGAATTATATTTAAATTTTTTTTCAATTTCTCATTTTTTTTTTCATTTTTTATATTTGTCTAGATAGAAATAATATAAATATATAATTTTTTTTACAAACAGGTAAAAAAATGTCACAAAAGAAAAAAAATAAACAAAAATAAAATTACAAAAAAACCTATATCCAAACAACACTTACAAATTTGGAAATAAAGTTAGTTAAGATTTGCTAAAATAACAAATGACTATTTGAGCACCATTGCTATAATTTGACAAAATAGCACTATTCATTGCCAAATTATAGCAATAGCAATGGCAATAGCATTACAGCAGCAATGGTTGTCGTTCAAAATCGATTTATTATGCATACAAGTCAAACTTGAAAGTACAATTTATTGGACTTAATCTAACAACTAGGAATTGTTTGATTCGCTAAAACAAGTTAAAATAATTATTCCTTAGACTTTCGTATGAAATTATCATTCTTTTATAATGTGAATGATGATTCAATTTAGGGTGTATTTTTTATTCTCGAGCTCCCAACTCTACGCTCGAGCGACACTCACACAACCCCGCTCGAGCGGCCAACACCACGCTCGAGCGTACAACACTGCACAAGAAATACTGGATGGGTGTATTCCCCGCTCGAGCGCCCAAACCTCCGCTCGAGCGGACAGGCCAAAATCTGGGCAACTAGTTTTTGATTTCTAAACTCAACCAACCTGAAACAAATCCGCCCAACACATCCTATAACTCAAATATGAAGAAAAAGGAATGTAAACACGATAATAACCAACTACCAACATCCACGGACACATGTCCGGATCACTGTACAATAAGGGTAAACCCGGGATCGCTATATTAGGTATCAACTTGTCAGGTAAGAAGCAATTGAAAAAAGAAGGGATTTAATTATGGCAGGCTCAAAAAACTAGAATTTCTTTACATCTATGGAAAATTCTACAAGTTAGTACTCGTTACATGTGTAGGATTGCTCTATGAAAACCACAAAGATGTTGGCTAAGATAAGATAAGTTAAACTTCTAATTTGACTCAAATTTCACTTTAGTCCTTACCATTTTAATTTAAATAATTCGATTCTTGCCTTTTAAGTCCGATTTCAATTTGATCCTTCCATTCAAATTAAACATTAAAACTTACAATATTGTAATACGTGTCAGTCTCCCAAGGAGTGCATGAAAAAATTAACAATTTTTTAGACAAAAGGACCAAATTAAAACTGAATTTTAAGTGTAAGAATCAAATTGAAATTTGAGTCAAACTACAAAGGTGAAAAATGTAATTCCCCCTTAAGATTTAAAACTCCCGATATATCCAAGTCAAACATTGCTAAGTACTCGTAAGACAATAATCAACCAAACTAATTTCACAAGAAGTAATGCAACAGTGAAATATGTTAAATACTTCTGGTTAACTAAATTAAAAATTCACTGCAGCAAATTATGTTTTACAGAAACATTAACTCGAGCAAAATAATTATATACTGTAAATAGGATTGAAGTCTCCCCAAAGCTGTTCTTTTGAAACATATAGCTGATAATCCCAAGACCTCAGATGCTTTGATTCATGCCACCTAACTTCTAAACTTCATTTTCATCTGCACTTAGAAGTTAGAATCTTACAAAAACTTTTACAGAAAAGCAAAAGCAGAGACATCTAATTTATGATACGAAACACATTTATAAACCAAATCATCTCCAAACAACTAGATTAGCTGGCTTATAAAAAAGTTCAAACCACAAAAAGGAAAAATTGTACGAATTCCTACATGAACAATACTAATTAAAATCCCAAAGGTTCCAAATCCCAAACATGGGTAAGACGATCACAAAAGAGCAATTTATGAATTGTGTACCATGGGGCACATAATGGGAACGTTCAGAAAAAGAAAAAGAAAAAGAAAAAGAGATAGGAGAAAAAAAGAAAAAAGAAAAAAGAGTTAAAAAAATTAAAAATTGAGGTTTTATTTTTTTATTTTATCAAATTGTTCGATGATATCAAAATTTCCCGTAACTTGACGCCCCTCCAGCTTTCGACAGTCAAGACTCGAGACTGGACACTTAGTCTGACCAAATGATTAGTCCACTAAAATGCACCACATTTATGATTTAAGATAATAAACCCTACGTGTAACCAAATCTTTAAAAAAATTGTATGTGCTGGAATCCTTTTTTTAGATTCTCCAATCTACAAGTAAATTCTACAGCAAAATAAATGATGGGAAGCCAACCTAACAATAGAAAGTCCATTTACCAGTGATAAATAAATCAAATGCACCAATGTTCAAAATAAGGACATGAAACCTGAACGTCCCAAAGATAACCTAACAATGGAATTCCTTAAGCCTCTTTTGTGAGAAATAATACAAATGCACCAATGTTCCACTATTTGGTTAGTTGTGTGCATTAGAGTAAGGATTGGTGCCGCATCATACCATCGGTGACAACCCCTAACACCCACGCGGGGTTGGCTTTCCCATAGTGTATTGGTCTAGTAAACCATAAATACGGGATTAGGGATTAGTCACCTAGGTTAAAGACACAATTGTGTTCTAGTTAGACTCAATAGGGTCTGTCTAGATGTTTCATTGATTTTTGGGTGGTATTGATTTTACCTTGAATTTCATAATATTTGAGCAATTGATGCTTACAGTGGTAGTATGTGAATTTTAAGATAATTGTGTAATATGGCGTCATCCTTATAACATTTAATATATTGGCTACTCATTTTCAATGTCTTGGATGATTATTTAGTGAGCTTTAATCTTTGCTAGTCCAAAAAAGGCGTTCCAGGGGCAAAAATTCAAAACAGCCCCCGAACCACCGTGTGGCTCTCACGGACAGCTTCCCTTTGACAAATAGGACTTGTGACAACTGACAGAATGTAATTCGGACCCGTAGGTTGAGAGTTAGAATTGAATACGCCTTAAACTTAGTCGAAAAAGAGCGTTCCAGTGGTGAAAATTCAAAATAGCCCCCGAACCACCGTGTGGCTCTTACGGACAGCTTCTCCATGAAAATTACAACCTGTGACAATAGCTGGAATGTAATTAGGACCCGTAAGCTTGGAGTTTGAGCCGAAAATGCCTTAAACTTAGTCGAAAAAAGGCGTTCCGGGGGCGAAAATTCAAAACAACCCTCGAACCACCGTGTGACTCTCACGGACAGCTTCCCCTTGACAAATAGGACTTGTGACAACTGATAGAATGTAATTCGGACCCGTAGATTGAGAGTTAGAGCCGAATACGCCTTAAACTTAGTCAGAAAAGGACTTGTGACAACTATTTGTTAGGTTTATTTAATATTTTTCCCTAATCAATTTGTGAAGCATCTTTGATACCTACAAGCAGATTGGATTCTTTTGAGAAAAGAATACTTATTAGTATATAAAAATTGGATTTAATGAAACAATGCCAAAGAGATGTTATCAGTTGAATTTTGAGATTTTATTAGCACAGTTTATAGTTCATAATTTCCTTTTCTTGGCGCATTATATTTTGTTAGTTCTTCAGTGTTTGATATATTATCTTGTCAGTGTGTATTAACCTCTAACTTTCTCATTAATTCTAAATCTTTGGTAGATATATAATTGAGGTATTGATTTTGTTGTGACTTGGGTTTTCTGGTAATTTACTGATGGATTCTGTTTATTTGTATGCTCAGGTGAAGTTGACAAAAGAATTGCATTTGGCCAATTGAGAAGATTCGCTTCACGAGAATTACAGCTAGCTACAGACAACTTTAACAAGAAAAATGTCCTTGTAAAGGGGGGTTTTGGAAAGGTTTATAAAGGAGTGCTTTCAAATAATACCAAAGTGGCTGTGAAACGATTAAATGACTATGAGAGTTCTGGTGGAGACGCAGCATTCCAGCGTGAAGTTGAGATGATAAGTGTAGCTGTTCACAGGAATCTATTACATCTTATTGGGTTCTGCTCAACACCAACAGAACGCCTTTGGTGTATCCCTTCATGCAGAACGCCTTTTGATTTATTCTAGTGGATTTTTGAAGTCTTTTGATTTTATATATAGCTGGTGTATGGATGTCACTAGTAGCTCATATGTTTAAATAGGTTTGTATGAAATTATTATTTTAAGTTGGAATATACTTTGTTTGCAATGTTGACATTAAAAGTTATAATTTTGTTTGGATGGTTGTAAGTGAAATAGATGCAAATTGTGGAATGGGTGATAATATATATATATATGTATTGTTTTGTTTGTGTACATGTTACAAGATGCATGGAATACATATAGGTTGTGGATAAATTAATTATTTTTAAAAAAAACAAAAAACAAAAAATTATGTTTTTTTCTACTAAACAATTGGTAGCCAAAAATGGAATAAATATTTTTAGTGACTACATAGTTAGTAGCTAAAAAAAGAATTAAATGGAAACAAATCTTTTGGAGACTAAATATGTAGTAGCCATAAACAAAAGACTTTAGGCGACTAATGATTTAGTAGCCAAAAAAAAAATAAAAAAAAATAAAGAAAATTAATTGGCGACTAAAACTTTAGTAGC